TTCCCGGTCTGCGATTACACTTGGTCGCAGATTGGTGTTGTGTTTTGGCGTGTCATTTACCTCATTCAAAGTTCTGGTTGAAGTTAGCTATTGAGGTGCTTTGTGCTTCTTGCTGGAGGATTTGGTTCATCGTCGTCACTATTTTCACCCAAATAGAATGATAGTTACTCCATTTTTATTTTGCCAACTTCAAACTAATAACACGCAACCAAAATTAAAGACCTGTAATTTTTTGATTCGCCAGCAACATAGTCGCTCCCGAAGAGATGAAATTATCATTGTTGTCAAAACCGGGCCGGATCTCGGTCGGATCGGGAAAACCCGGACCCATCCAATAGCCTGGTCCCGGAAGCCTTAAAACGCTAAGCAACCTTTTCGGTCGATTTGTGACCGGTTCATCCAGTTAAGCGGCAAAACCGATAGACCCGAACTAGCGGTTTTGAACTCTAGCCTGTTTTAGTTTTTCAAATTCTATTACAAAAATGGAAGGGGATGAAATATAGGCTTACAGGGAGACTTAGGGGTGTTCAAATGGGAGGGATTTTACAATGCTATATAGTATTGGTGCTATAGGTTTTTGTCTTTTATGGTATAACTTGAAATTGTACATTTAACGTTATGGTACAACTTTAGATTATATCTATACTGTTTGTACAAATTCTTTTATGGTACAACTTGAACTTATACCTTTATGTGATGGTACAACTTCAAGTTGTAAAGTTGTACCACAACATAATGGTACAAATTCTTTTATGGTACAATCTAAACTTATAAATTTCATGTTATGGTACAAATTTAAGTTGTACATTAAAGCACCAATACTATATAGCATAGTAGAAATGCTCGTTCAAATGGTGTGGTTACTGTTAGGGCTGAAAGTTTGGTACCGGTATTTGGGATATACCGAATACCGTACTGAATTTGTCTATACTTGGTATTACCGAAAACAGTATTATTTCTTGGGATTGGTATTGAGATTGAATTTCAATTTTTATTCGGTATTAGGGATTACGAGATTGGGATCAGTGTATACTGAAATATCGATCAATACCAAAATATAAGCTAGTGTGTATTTTATCCTCTCAACTAGACTCAGTCATTCACTAATACAAAACCCCCAACCACCAAGAGTGTCATTTAATTATACATAGATCATTCTATCACTATTTCACTACTTAGAAGTTCCCATCCAACTCAATTTTGACGTTCCAATTTAGGTCACTCTCTTCTCTCACCTAACCTCGTGTTATTTTCATAACACCAAAAAGCAAACAATAGTATTAGTCGCCTCTCAACCTCCAATTCGTCAAATTAAAGATTACCAATGATAAGAACTTGAGATTTCACCTCACCTCCATTCTCCTTATCCATATCTTAGCTTTAGGCAAACTCAAGACTATTTGCTTAGTCGCTTTGCACTAAATTAAACAATTAAAACTAATTTGTATATTTAATTATTAATTATAAAGGTTATTAATTTCGTATTTGACAATACCGAATGAGATACCAAAGTACTGATTGGGATACCAAAATATTTTGGGATTGGGATTGATTTTAGGGTGTAATTTGGTGTTCGGGATTTTGGTATTTGGTATTGGGATACCGATACCGTACCTATTTCCACCCCTAGTTACCATGGTAACCGTTTTAACCGCTAGTATTTGGATAATTTGGTTTGGTTAATTTGGATATTGGTTTAGTTTGGTTAAAAAATTTAGCTTGTTTGGTTTAAGTGGTTTGGTTTGGTTTCAGACACTCCTAACCACTCAAACCAAATTAACCAGTTAAGTAATTAGCTATATATCTAATATGTATTATATATACATACTTAATATGTTGCATAACCACTCAAGAGTTAAATCTATCTATCTATCTATCTATCTATCTATCTATCTATCTATCTATACTATATATTATTGCAATTCAAAAGCAATCTCTTGCCACATAAGCACTTGGAGGATCCACAATTTGCCAAGTTGGACAACTTTTTTACAAACAAAAAAATTAGTTATCAATGTATTTATGTAGCTACCTCTCTCTTCTTTAATATTTTCATTACTTTTATCCAATTATTCTTTTTTATTTATCTATTTATTCTTTTTGACTTTAATGATAAGTTACATGTTGATAAACTTACCAAACACACATAAATAATAAATTTTTTCAAATTAAAAAAAATATAAATAAGAAAACAGAGAGTGACATATATTCCATTTTATTAAATAAAAAATATATGATTAAACCTTATGAAGTAAATTTCCTACTCATTTTTACTTAAGTTGAAAGATAAGTTACATTTTGATGAAAAAAATTAAAGAAACATACACATAAACAAATAATGTTTTTATCAACTAAACAAAATATATATGAAAAGAGAGAAAATAAATATTTGACATTCAATTACCTTTGAAAAATAAACTATATTACTTTATATTATATTGCAATGAAACACTCTTTTATTCGTAAAGTATTTGTCTATAAAATAAAACAAGTATTATTGAAACAAAATGTCAAAGTATAATCTTGATAGAGTAGTTACAGTTATTTATTTAAAAAAAAGACTTCTTATTCGTTTAGATCATGTGCAATAATTTTATAATGTGTCCTATATTTACATTAATAATATTTGCTCTGTATCAGGTTGATTGAGCAAACTCTAGTGAGGTCCTAAGTCATATGCTAAGAAATTTTCTTTCAGACTTAGAGTTATCGTCGACAATTATAAATCAAAATGTTCAAAATGACTTAAGTATGATTGTTGACGAACTTTGACTTCAAACCCTAGGCTAAGACACAAGATTCCTTGAAAAATAAAACATATGTGAAGGTTAGAGAAATCTTTGTTGAGAATCTAAGATAAACATCACGTTTTATCAACTACTAACCTAGACATTTACCAAATAAAGATTGGTAGTTTTAGTAAGATTGTCAATTGGGATAAACATATTTATCCAATAATCCCAACTTCTCACTAATCTTTACAACATTGGTCGAGAGTTCGTCCAAACTCGAGGATCATGAATGTGTATTGGATTTTCAAAGGACCTAAAATCTCAATCCCTTTCGGTTGCTAAATGCCTCTGATCACAACCATAGGTGCCAAAGAAGAATGAAAAGAAGCCCAAAAATAGCAAAAAAGAACATAACCTCCGCTACGACGAACATAATAGAACCATATCAAGCTATGATCCTGTAATCCCTACCCTTTTATTCTCCATAAAGGGGGCGGCGGGAGAGAATAAGATATAAATAGCAGGATCTTAGGAGTTGCCTCTTTATATATTACATATAGAATGATAGACAACCCCAATGGTTGTATGATGTTATGTGGGTAAAAGCGGGATCTCTATCCCGGGGGTGAGTGTAGGCAAGTAGTACTTTTAATATGAATATTAGGCGAGATAAGATAGGTCTGACGAAGTATCTTAATAATTTTGAGTCTACTATACACACACATACACACACACACACAAACATATATATATATATATATATATATATATATATATATATATATATATAAATATCAAGGTATACTGTACTTTTGATTTTCCGCAAGATACGATAGAAGATAGGTATGACGAGTATGTGCATAAATTAGAGGTTAGAGAATTAGGGATTGGAGTTCACATATTAGAGGTTAGGGTATAGTATCATGTAACAAAAAACTCAGGTTAATTCGAGGTTTAAATAGTAAAACTCAATGGTCGTATGGTAGTGTGAATGCAAGCATATAGCGTACTCTTGGCCCACACTCGCTTGAACTATATATGGTGGCTACTTCGGTGCACTCACTTTTTGGGTGCACTGATAAAAGCGTCCATAATACATCAAATTTTGAACTTTAATTAGTACTCTCAATATAATATGATGATATGACATATAATCATAACAAATCAATCCATTACCCTAACCCCTTAACATTCAATTTTGAATCCCAACCCAAAATCCCAAATTGTAAACCTAAACCCTAACCCTAAATCCCTAAATCCTAAATCCTTCGAATTAAAGTAAATTTTGAATGATTTTTTTTTCAAATTCATGTGCTTCTTGTTCATAATATCATAAGCAACAATTGATACCGTTTTGACATGAATCGCATGGTTAGAATGACAATTATGAGGCGGGTGCACTCGAAAAAGTGGGTGCACCGAATACGGCACTATATATATATGGTGGTGTATTCGGTGCACCCACTTTTTTGGATGCATTCAATGCATTTACCTCATAATCGTCATTCCGAGCATGTGATTCATGTCAAAATGGTATCAATCGTCGCTTATGGTATTATGAACAAGAAACACATGAATTTGCAAAAAGCACATTCAAGATTGTCTTTAATTTGAAGGATTAGGATTTAGGGATTTAGGATTAGGTTTAGGGTTTATAATTTGGGATATTGGGTTTGTGTTCAAAAGTGAAGGTTTGGGGGTTAGGTTAATGGATTGATTAGTTGTAACCATATGTTATATCATCATATCAGACTAATGTTACCAATTAAAATCCAAAATTTGATATCTTCAGGCTACTTTTAGAGATGTGACGTGACAACGACATAATTTATGATTAGAAAACCGTGCTAAATATTGGAAATTTTCAAAATAGACATACTACAAAATCTGTTATGAATCAAGAACACAAAATATTGGAAGATCCAAATGATTTAAACATAAAAATTAATTAATATAAATTATACAATAATTCTCTCCGACCCATAAGTGAGTGTGTTAAATATTGAAAATTTTTAATATAGACATACTACAAAATTTGTTATGAATCAAGAACACAAAATATTAGAAGATCCAAATGATTTACACATAATTTAATTAATATAAATTATAAAATAAATCTCTCCGGCCAACGGGCCGGGTAAAAAGCTAGTGTAAGATAATTGTATTAGTTACATGTATTTATTTTAAGGGTTAACTATAATTTTGTGTTGATTGTTATGTGTTATTCATTATATAAATTACCAAATGATGCACTAATCAAAAAAATTCTCACTTAATGATAATATGATGGTATATTGGTTATCTTGGTTAACCAATTAACCAAATCGATTAAACTTTAGTATGGTTAATTTGGTTATTGTATTAGTTTAGACGATTTGGTTATGATATTGTATTTCATGGTAAATAGAATTTAGACTTATCTACAAAATACTATAAGCCAATGTCAATATATTGCTTTTGCCACGTCAGCCCCTCCTCAATATACCGCACACTGCGGAAGGACCTCCAGGTAATTCTAATAATTCCCTCTCACCGGCCGTCTATCTCGCACAAAAGTTCTCACACGTACAATCTCCCCCCGCCTGTCAACCAAAACCTCCTTACTTACCGCAGCTCTCTCGATGGTATCAATATAATCCCTTTTTTACAACAATAAAAATATAATAATTGTTGCACATTTAATCTGCTTCTTGAATCCCCCGGCGCCGCCCCCGGAAATCCCTTCCTAACCGCACCGCCGAGCAAACTCACCGGAGAGCAGTTGTACACCCCTCGGCGACTATTATTATACCAAGAGTGTCAAAGAAGCTGGGGTATTTATCTCTTTGTCCTATTTCTGATAACGTTATCTCTTTGTTATCTTAGGTTCTGAATTAATTTTTATGGATCTGATTTTAGGTTTTCTTACTTACAGATCTGCTAGGTGCAACGAAGCCATCTCAGTTGCAGATTCGTTTTAGTTAGAGTTGTGGTAATTGTGGAATTTTGTCTATCTTTGTCTCGATCTTCTCTGGATTTTTGTTTTCATCTCTCTGAACCTCTCTCAACAATGGCCATATATATATAGTCACGTTTCGTTCTCCTGTTTAATTTTTTTTTTCCTTTCGATTTCTGAGTTGGTATCTTTTTTCTAAAGTTGTTTGCTGTAGGTGCTTCCAGTGGCAGTGCCATGAATCTGAATGAGGGGATAAAAGAATTTACGTTTAAAGGTTTGAACCGGCGAGAGGGGCTAAAGTCTTATCACCTACTCTATTATCCAAATTTGTTGTGAAATTTACATGTAAATTTACACAATTTTGAGAGTTGAAGGGGGCCATAGCCCCTCCTGCCAACAACGTGACTTCTCCACTGGTAGGTGCTGATATGAATTGGTGAGGTTCAGCGTCGGGTACAAAGCATTGTCCATGAAACCGTACCGCAGACCGTGCCCAAAAAGTAAGTGGTAGGGTATTTTATGGCAAAACCGTGGTTTAACCGTAGTTCAACCGTTAGTACCGTTAAATACCGCCTATCGGTTTAGCCTCCGGTACTGGTATTTTGTGGTTGAATCGCCGGTACAGTACGGTTTAATGGACCATGGTACAAAGGAGAAGCACATCTCCGCGTTCCAAGGTGCTTGGTTACAGCCTTACAGGGATTGTTCTATGACTGGTTTGCTTTGTCTCTGCTTTGATGGTTTCGTTCGGTCTTTCTCCTTAGTAGACTTTCTTTGATTTCTTTCATAAGAAATTAAGGCGGTGAGTTTGATTGCCAAGAATCCGGCGACCAAGGATATGTGCAGATCCAAACATCCCATGATGCGTTTTTTGTTTTGGGAGGTGAAGTGGTGAACAGAAGGGTAAAGATCCAACTCTTTCATTCGTTTCTCCCTCTATGTAATTGTGATTTTCGTGGTTTTTTTGCAGGGTTAAAACTAAATTGTATTATATTGTAATTTTGCTTCCCTTTGTGGTTGTGCAAGGGTTATGGTAATGCCGCTGAAGTGTAGTCACCACTCACCATGACCATTTTTCGAGCCAAAATCCTCGGTTTAAATTGTAATTTATTTTCTTTCGTTCAAGTCGACATCATTGTTACAAGATTTTGATGACTTCGCAGTAATTTATTTTGCATGTGCATCCCACAATTATTCAATCACTCTATTCTTATACGAAGTTTGGCAATGTCTCGACTATTAAAAGCTAAACTTCAAATTCAAACGAGATGAAAGGAGATGTAAGCAGGTTTAATATTAGGCTTAAACATATTAGATGATACTTTTTAAAGGGGTTAATGCCACATTTGGTCACTGTGATTACTAAATTGTGTCGTGTTTAGTCACTAGAAAAACTTAATATCAAATTTGGTCACTCTAATTACTAAAACAGGTCATATTTAGTCACTCTCCGTTAGTCTCCATCCAACTCCGTTAATGAAGTCCGTTAAGTGCTGACGTGGCTAACGAGAGAGCCTAATCAGTGCCGTTTTGACCCGAAAATGGTCAAACTCGACCCGCCACGTCACCGAACCCGCCATGTCATACATCCAACCCAAACTATTAAGCCAACCTAACCAAAAACTAAACCCTAACCCACCTAACAAAACCCTTTCTCCTTCCTCGCGATGCTCTACTCTGCTCCTTCCCTTCAAGGTGCAAAAGACACCCAATTAATTCCCGCGAGGTGCAAATTGATTCCCAAAATTCCCACTCCCTCCATCTCTCTATATATTCATACACACAAATCATGGCTTCAGCAACCATATGCAGCTCAAGAATCTGTGGTATCAAGTGATTGCATCTGTTCCAATACAACTGCAATTTCCCATCGCCGTACCCCTCGCCAGTTACCAAGAAGCGCCGGTTCGCTCCCCCATGTCTCAAGCGCCTCCAGGCGAGGTTCCCCAACATGGAGGTGGGGATTCTCGAGCTATCCCTAGAAGAATGCGGCAGCAACATCGACGCCGCCATCTACTGCCTCTGCCGTCTCTCCCTGGAAGAAGCGCTTGCCACGAAACCCGGCCCCGCAGTGAAAATCAGCAGCGACGAGCATGGATGACGCCAAATCCCGAGCCGGCAAGGTTTTGGAAGCTCTGGAGAATTGCACCTCGCGGGAAAAGGGATAGCGTGGAGCTCTACATCTCTCCCTGAAGTTCGATCGAATTGGTGAACCTAGAGGAAGGAGCAGTTCGCGAGGAAGGAGAAAGGGTCTTGGTCTGAAAATGGCCACTAACCCAATCGATTTTCCAATTTTGTTTTGTTAGGTGGGTTAGGGTTTAGTTCTGGGTCGGGTTGGGTTAATGGTTTTGGTTTGGTGTATGACATGGCGGGTTTGGTGACGTGGCGGGTCGGGTTTGACCATTTTCGGGTCAAAACGGCGCTGATTAGGCTCTCTCGTTAGCCACGTCAGCACTTAACGGACTTCATTAACGGAGTTGGATGGAGACTAACGGAGAGTGACTAAATATGACCTGTTTTAGTAATTAGAGTGACCAAATTTGATATTAACTTTTTCTAGTGACTAAACTTGACACAATTTAGTAATCACAGTGACCAAATGTGGCATTAACCCCTTTTTAAAGTATAAGAGTGTTTTTTAGAGGTGACAATTCTCAATCCAATCCACCAATCCATTAAAAATATCCACTTAATTCAATCCATTTAATCAATTCAATTGAATTGGTGGATTCATGGATCAATCCATGGATTCAAATTGCAAATTACGGTTTAGTACCTATACTTTTTATGTTTTACATTTTGGTACCTAAAATTTAATTTTTATACGAAAAATCTCATTGGAAAATGTTGGGGGAATGAACATGGGCCGGCCCAGATGGGAGAAGCCCAAAGTAAGTTATTATGGACCAGAGGCGTGGGCCCAACCAAGAAGACTGAGAAAGCCCATGGGAGCAGGAACCTTGGGTTGAAGGGCGTCTGGGCCTAGGCCTAGGTGGCTGAGATAGCGTGTGAGACAGGTGGGACCGGGCACCTGGCGAGGGACATATGAGACAAAGGCAGCCAACGGTCGGAAGTGTACGAAAAGCTGATCCGGTGATGTCATGCGCCTCCAACCTCTGACCGAAGTGTCAGATGGTCGAGGCGCATGGTCTAGGGGTGTACGGCGCATTTATGGCGGGTCTGACACAGGGCGAGAGCGACGTGTACCGGTCGATCTCGCCCCGGGTATAAATAGTCGAGTAGGTAAACCTCATTTACTCAGTTTTTGCTTCTCTTACTAGAACTGTTCCTTCACTTCTCTCTCTAGAAAGTAGGTTCTTACTTGAGCGTTGGAGTGCTAACGGACCACTTCGGTCCGCTAGGAGCTTGTGTGGGTGCAGGGAGGCGGTTGCGTAAGCGAACGAAGGAGCTAGAGGTGTGAAGCGTAAGAAGGGGGTTACTGGGCATAAACAATTGGCGCGCCAGATAGGGGGATATAACCCTCAAAGCGCATGGAGGTTACGGGATTAGGAGAGAAGGATGGAAGGGCTGAACCTCATGATCAGGGGACGGAAGTGACAAAGGAAGAGGAGGAGCATGATGGGAAAGGGAGCCCGAGGATCGAAGAGAGCGCGCAAGCAGAAGGCGCCGCGCTCATAAAAGAGGAATTGCTTCAGATTATCGAAAGCCAAGATCACGCGCTCGAGATTTTGAAGAAGGTGGTCGAGGCGCTCAAGAGGAATGGAGGCGACCCACACACGCCTGGATCGAAGAGAAAGGAGCGGGATGAAGAGGGGGATGGAGCGTCCAGCCTTATGAGGCGCACAGAGGAAATGGGGCACCTGACCCGACACTTGGAATCAGATTATGACGACTACAACGGATGGGCACAGAGGCGTGCAGGAAGAGGCTGGGGAGTTCGGCAGCCCTTGGCCAGGAGCATTCTCGCCGAGTCGCCGAGCTCAGTCATACCAGCGTTACCAAGCTACGATGGTACGACCGACCCGGAAGACCACTTGAACAATTACTTCACGAAAATGCAACTGTACAGCAGCTCGGACGCCACGATGTGTCGTGCGTTCCCTTCCACATTCACAGGGGTGGTGCTGGACTGGTACCACCAACTGGAAGAGGGACGGATCGACTGTTTCGAGCACTTTGCTTCCTTGTTCCTATCAAAGTTCGCTAGTCGAAAGCGTAGGACCCTCACGATAAGCGCCTTGTTCAAGGTCCGTCAAAGGGAAAACGAGCCACTCCGCGATTTTTACGAACGATGGATGTCGGTAGCCATGGCAGTGAAGGATGTCAAGCCCCCTGTCTTGGGGTGTTGCCTGGATGAGTGCACAACTAGTGAAGAGCTGTGTCGGGCGCTTTCCAAGAGACACGTGATGTCCACTAAGGACCTTGATAGGAGGGTATAGAAGGTCATTATGCTAGAGGAGACGCTTGCGGCTAGAAGATTTGACAGGCGCAAGAACAAGACGGAGGAGGGAGAGGGATACCGACCGCAGGCTCCCCGCGTGCCATTGGCGGCACCCAACGTGCCGTTCCCAGGGCGCAGGATGGAGAACCAGAGGCCTGTGCCGAAGAATGCGGGGAATTTCACCGAGCTAAACGACACGCTGAAAAACGTGTTGCAGTATGTGAAGGATAAGGGTTACCACCTGAGGTGGCCGGGTCCCATGAGGGGGCGCCCGAATGAACAGAATCTCGACAGATATTGTAAGTTCAATAGGGAGCGGGGGCACCACACCGCAGATTGCTATCAGCTGAAGTCTGAGATACAAGGGCTGGTAGACAGGGGCATGCTGAACGACTTTGTGAAAAAAGATGATCGAACGCAGAGGACATTCGTAGTGCGGGAGGCACAGGCAAAGGCGCCTGATGAAAAGCCGGAGGCGGCAGACGGCCATCCCAAGGAAGAAGCTGTTCTACCCCCACCCCCATTCAACGTAGAGCAGGAGGCGAACCCGAACTGCGTAAGATTGACCATTGAGGCCATCACGGGCTCCGTAGACTTGAGGCAGAAGCTGGAGGAGGGAAGGCGCCTGAAATCGGCCACCGCCAGCGCGCGCGAGGCTATCCAGATACGCTTCAATGAGGTGCCCCAAGAAGCATGCCGAACGCCTTCCACGGAGGCGCTGGAAATCCGGGGAGTGGTGGCCGGATGCGAGGTCAAAAGGATGTTGGTCGACACCGGAAGCTCCATGGACGTGTTATTTCTTTCCACGTTTGAGAAAATGCAGTTAGCGCCGAGTATGGTGACGCCGGCGGACACGGTGCTCATTGGGTTCTCTGGGGCACCCGCACAAGTTATCGGACGCGTGCGCCTTCCCGTGACCTTGGGCGACGAGGCGCTTTGTGTCACGCACACGGTGGACTTTGGCATAGTCGACTGCCCCTCACCATACAACGCAATCTTGGTGTGCCCCTTGCTGGCACTCTTCAACGGGGTGGCCTCATCTTGCCACCAAGTCCTAAAGTTTGTCACCTTGGAGGGCATCGGAATATCGAGGGGTGAGGCCTCTGCGGAAGCACGACTCGCCAAGAGGAGCCGGATGTATAACATTGACATGCGGCTTGAAGACTTGCCAAGGGCCGAAGCGGCGGATGAAGAGATACATGTGCCACTGGATGACCTACGTCCTGATAGATGCGTTCGCGTTTCGACACACACGACGGGCGAAGAGTTGGGGCCGTTGCCATACTTGTTCGCATGGAGCGCGAAGAAAATGCCCAGTGTGAAGGCAGAGGTTGCGGAGCATCGCCTTGCCATAGCAAAAGGCGTGCGCCCTATCCAACAGAAAAGGCGCCCGATCTCGCTGGAAAAGGAGGAAGCGCTTAGAAAGGAGGTAGGGAAGTTGCGAGAAGGGGGGTTCGTGCAGGAGGCCAAATACATCACTTGGCTGTCCAACGTAGTGCTAGTTCCCAAGGCGTCGGGGGAATGGAGGATGTGCGTGGATTATACCAGCCTAAACCGAGTGTGCCCCTCGGACGCATACCCCATGCCAAGAATCGACCAACTAGTGGATGCAACGGCATACCACGAGGCACTCAATTTCCTGGATATGTTCTCAGGCTACCACCAAATACCCATGTGTGAGGAAGATAAGGACAAGACAGCGTTCATGACTCCGTTCGGTAACTTTCGCTACAGGGTGATGTCGTTCGGGTTGAGGAATGCTGGGGCCACGTACCAGCGTATGGTGAACAAGGTTTTTCAGCATCAGATTGGGCGGAATGTGGAGGCGTACGTGGATGACTTGGTGGTGAAGAGTAAACGGAGAAAGGATCATCTGGCGGACTTGCGTGAGACGTTTCAAGCGCTCCGCGCCCATGACCTGCGCCTCAATCCCCTGAAGTGCGTATTTGGTGCGGAAGCAGGAAAGTTCTTGGGGTTCATGATCACCAAACGTGGCATCGAAGCTAATCCCCGACAGGTGGAGGCGATAAAGCGCCTCCAACCCCCCCCCCCCCCCCCCCCCCCCCGCACACCTAATGAAGTGCAAAGTTTAAACGGGCGACTGGCCGCCTTGGGGCGCTTCATACCCCGCTCGGTGGATAAGGGCGCCCCTTTCTTTCGAGTGCTAAGGAAGGCCGCCCGGTTCAAGTGGACGGAAGAGTGTGACGAAGCATTCGAGCAACTAAAGGCTCTGCTAATGGCCCCTACTGTGATGACTGCCCCGAAGCGGGGCGAAGTGCTCTACCTGTATATTGCGGTGTCAAAAATGGCAGTCAGTGCGGTGCTTGTCTCCAAGGAGAAGGGAAAGTGGGGAGGATAGGCTGGTGCACTATGTGAGCAAGGTGATGGCGGGAGTCGAGACTCGTTATGCGCCCATTGAGAAGGCCGTGCTAGCAGTGGTCACGGCGGCAGAAAAGTTGCGTCCCTACTTCCAGGCTCACCCTGTGACAATCCTTACAAATTTGCCATTGAGGAGTACGCTGGGGTCCATGGATGTGGCCGGGCGCATGGTCAAGTGGGCAGTACAATTGAGCGAATACAACATAAGCTATGCGCCCCGCCCTGCGATAAAGGCGCAAGTGTTGGCTGAGTTTGTGGCTGAGGGGGTGGTAAGCGCGGGAGACGGCGCGGAGGAGGTCTGGCAGGTCTATGTGGACGGCGCGGCGAGCAAATTGGGTGTGACAATCCTTACAAATTTGCCGTTGAGGAGTACGCTGGGGTCCATGGATGTGGCCGGGCGCATGGTCAAGTGGGCAGTACAATTGAGCGAATACAGCATAAGCTATGCGCCCCGCCCTGCGATAAAGGCGCAAGTGTTGGCTGAGTTTGTTGCTGAGGGGGTGGTAAGCGCGGGAGACGGCGCGGAGGAGGTCTGGCAGGTCTATGTGGACGGCGCGGCGAGCAAATTGGGTGTTGGAGCTGGAGTGGTGGTTGTGAGCCCCTTGGGGGCGATGCATGAGTTGGCCCTTCGATTCTCAACCCTGAAGACCAACAACGCGGCGAAATATGAGGCGGTGATTGTCGGGCTCCATACAGCTCGGGAGCTCGACTCCCAAAAGGTTCAGCTCCGCTCGGACTCT